TTGACCCCACTTAGTGCGATAAAGGCTTTGTCGTTGTTGTTGTCTTAACAACCCTGGGATAATATATCTTTTCTTACTATTTCATTTGTTTCAGTTCTTCTTTTCTATACTAAAATTTGTTACTCGTCTACCATTGTTCTAATTTGTTTCCATTCATGTATATTTTGCTCCTCTTAATTCATAATGCTTTTTTTGTTTCACCTTATGCAAAACTATCTTTTCTAAGTTTGAAGTATTAGCATTCATCTCTTCATTCAAGATCGGGCATTCGTCTCATTGCTTGATGGCTTTTAAGGAAAAGCGCTCTCTGTAGCATCCCTTATTAATAGTGATTGCCTGCAAGGTGTGGCAGCTATGGGTTTGCATTGTCTTACCCTCGGTTCTAGGAGAGTGTTTAGCTAGCCTTTAGTAACATTGATATCTATATAATTTTTTCCCTCCGGACCATTTTTTGCTGCATGAAGAGGCTGAAACCACAACCTTTAAGCCTTTGTTATGTCCGTTCGATTCATTAGGAAACAAAACAATTCTCAGTTGTTTCTGGCTTATTTAATACTAAATTAAAAATAAATGTAGCTACTTATTATATGCTCTTTGTGAGGATCATTTAGCTTCTCAAGCCAAATTAGGTCGACTCTAATGCTTTAGTTTTTTTTGTGAAGTCTACTGGAAAAAAAGTCTATTTTAACTGTGCATTATGCTTAGTATAGGCAATATCTCAGGTTTGCTATCCTTCAAGGCCATTAAGTTGATCTTAATAGTGTTTTTTAGTTTTGAAAATATATAAATTCTTCTATATGATTTTTATACTTTTCTGGGTTTTGAATGGACTGACAAGTTTCTTGTGGCTGCACAAATTTCTTAAAAACAGTGCCATATTTGTGCTTCATAATTGTATTTATCACGCCCCGACTCGGGGTTTAGAATTAACCAAGACGGGTACAGACTGTCGGAGAGTAAAAACAATAAATTTTTATAACTAATATTTTAATAATGAAATATCTCACTAAAATTTTAACCTTGTTTTGAAATATTATCAAACTCAAGGTCAGGACTCCTAGCCAGAAGGGCCGGCATCACACCTAATATCAAGATTTCCCTCGATTTGGATTGACATCATGCACGTGGTCAAGATCTCTAAGTAACTCGGGTGACATCGTGTTTATATCGAGACCCCTGAGATGTTGAAGTGATCAATGATAAAGTTGAGTTAAGTTTGACAATCCAGAAAGAGCAAGTTTTAAACAAGCCTTATAACACGATTCTAAAGTCCAAATGTTCATCATTAAAACTCACTAAGATTTAAATGTCAAGCGAGAAAATTTGTGAAAATCTACAAGCCTTGGCAAGTTAAGTTGGAGAAGCATCAATTCTCTTATGCTCAAGTTTAGGACTCAGATGGAGCTTGTATTCAAGCCGAGATGTGGTCGAGTTACCGGCTTTTCTCTTCACTACCAACCAAGGCCGTGGTGAAGAGCTCCGTTGTCTGATGATGATAAAACATGAGATTATTTTCTGCTCAAGTTTATGACTTAGATGGAGGTCGGACTTATTAACCTGAGATGTGGTCGAGTTATTGGTTTGTATCTTCGCTACAAACCAAGGTCGTGATGATGAGCCCCGTTTGTCAATTTAATGACAAGAAATCACGAGAAAATTTTCTACTCGAGTCTACAACTCAGACGTAGGCCAAACTCACTAAATTTAGAGATGGTCGAGTTACTGGCTTTTATCTTTAATACCAACCAATGTTGTAGTGAAGAGCCCTGTTTGTCAGTCTGATGATGAAAAAACACGAGAATATTTTATGCTCAAGTTTAGGACTCAAACGAAGGCCATATACATTAAGCTAAGATGTGACCGAGTTACTGGCTTTTCTATCTATTATAAACCAAGGACATAGTGAAGAGCCCCGTATGTATGTATAAGGACAATAAATGCATAAGACTATTTATTGCTCTTGTTTAGGACTCGAATGGAGGTTGAACTCATCAAGCAGAGATGTGTCCGAGTTACTGGATTTTCTCTTCACTACTCACTAAAGTTGTGGTGAAGAACCCCGTTTGTCAATTTGATGACGACAAAGCACGAGACTATTTTGTGCTCACTTAGACGGAGGGCGGACTTATTTAGCCGAGAGGTGGCCGAGTTGCTGGCTTGTCTCTTCACTACCAGCCAAGGATATGGTGAAAAATCCATTAGTCAATCTGATGATTACAAAGCACGAGAATATTTTCTGCTCAAGTTCAGTACTCAAATAGAGGCCAGACTCATTAAGCCAAGTGCTAACTGAGTTACTGGCTTTTCTCTTCACTACAAGCCAAGGCTGTGGTGAAGAACCCTGTTTGCATGTATAATGACAACAAATGAATAAGATTATTTCCAGCTCAAGTCTAAGACTCAAACGAAGGCCAGACTTATTAGCCAAGTTGTGGTTGAGTTGTTGGCATTTCTCTTTGCTCCATTCACCAATCTAGTGATAACAAAAGCATAAATCTATTCATCTTAACAAGTTCAAGTGATATGGCTTCATCAGGTTTTCTCACCTGATCTAAGAATAAAGATAAAAGTCAAATGAGATGAACCTTATTATGGGGACATCAAGCTAGTCTTGACAGGAGCAGTTTTCTTCAATAAGTTTGAACAAATAGTAAGCATCGACTGAAGGAACTTTTCATCTTCAGCAATTCTGATGAGGTGTGAAGAATAAAACTAAAATAAGCTAGTTCAAGCTTTATATCAAACTAAAAGCTGACATCAGATTTTTCTTTGCTGTCAAGACAAAGGGACTGCATATATTTTTTGGGTCGACATCCATCTCTAAGTCGAGATCCTCAATTTAGTTCAACCAACGTCAGAATTTTCTTTCTTATCAAAATAAATGGCTGCTTATTTTATTTGGATTGAAATCGAGCACTGAGCTGAGATCTTCAAATATATTTCTCTTCTGTTATTTGGGTTAACATCATCCTCGTGGCCGAGTTCCCCAAGGACTCCCCATTATCAAGCATGAGTGTACATCATTTTGGGTGACATTACGCGAAATGGCGAGATCCTTAAAAGTACTTCATGCCATTGAAACCCCCCTGTAAGACGGGGCATTTTTTATTTAGCTTGTTCATGGAATAACATATTTTTACGCGAAAATTTTCAATCATTAGAGATTACATTGTGCTGAACATCAAGATTCCCAAAATTCTTCAATCATTTGGGCTGACTTCATGTTAAAAGTCGAGATCACTGTACGTCTTTCAAATTAATCACTCCATTGTCAAGCATTGGTATATATCGTTCGGGTTGACATCGAATTCAAAGCTGATATCCTTAAGTGCATAAATCATTGTAGACCTTCCATCTCCAATTGTAGTGGTAAACATCGTGCATTTTACCAAGATATCTTCCACTTGGGTTGATATAGTGCTCATGGCCAAGATCCCCAAGGATTCAAAGGTTCAACAATTGAGAAATTCTCAATCTGTGTTGGCATTACGCTAAACCTCGAGATCCCTAGCATATCTCTTGAATGGTGAAATTACCTCATTATTGATTGAGTGCATCATTCAGGTCAACGTTATGCCCAAAGTTTAGATCCCTAAGCACCTCAAATGCTAAGATGTTAATCACCTGAGTTGACAAAACTGAGATCCTCATAATCCTTCAATCATATAAGTTGACATCATGTCGAATGCTGAGATACTTAAAATTCTTCAATTATTTGGGTTGACATTACGCCGAACACTGAGATCTTCATAACCCTTCAATCAACTGAGTTGACATTATGCTAAACATCGAGATCCCTAGCATATCACTTGAATGGTGGAATTACCTAATTGTTGATTGAGTCCATCATTCGGGTCGGTGTCATGCCCAAAGTTGAGATCCCTGAGCACCTCAAATGCTAAGATATTAATCACCTGAGTCGACATCATCGGGATCCTCAAAATCCTTCAATCATCAAAGTTGACATCACGTCAAGTGTCGAAATCCCCAAAATTATTCAATTATTTGGGTTGACATTCGCCGAACATCAAGATCTCCATAATTCTTAAATCATTTGGGTGACTTCGCATTAAATGTCGAGATCCATAAAAAGAACACTTCATGTCATTGAAATTCTCCTGAGAGATAGGGGGCAATTTTTTTAAATTTAGCTTATTTTGGTTAACATTATATTTTTATGCAGAATTTTTCAATTAATTGGGTTGACATCGTGTTGAACGTCGAGATCCCCATAATTCTTTAGTCATTTGGGATGACATCGAGTTAAATGCCAAGATCCCCGGATGTTTTCAAATATTGAAAGCACTTCATTGTTAAGCATTGGCGTATATCATTCGGGTCGACATCGAGCTCAAAGCATATATGCTTGAGTGCACCAATTACTGAAAACTGTTAATTCCTTATTGCAGCGGTATGCATCGTGCATTTCCCATGCATTAAAAGACATATTTTACCTTTTAAGATTAAAAACAGTAATAATTTTGATGTGATACAAGAAAATTAGGTGGTATAAATCTAAAAAGTAGAGTTTAAATGCATAGGAATTTGGAGGTATGTATGTAAATGCAACATTTATATGACATTTTCACCACATTTGTCTTTTTCTTTCTGACATCGTTGAATGAGCAGCTCTCTTATTTGTTTCCAATCTAGCATATCAGCATCTGATGTGCCATATCAAACTGCTGTAGCCGTAGTTAAACTAACCTACCAAAATGTTGATTCCTTCGAGGTGCTGCTATAGATTATAGTGAGATGTTTATTCAGCTTTCTGCTCTAGTTTTCTCACAATGTTTTTCTAAACATTCAAGCATTCGAGCGCAGGCCTTTAAGTGACTTTGTTTTTTATTAAATTTTGCACAAATTTTGCATAACCTTTAAATTCACTAGCACAGGCGCTTGTTACATACATGTTCAGTGATATTTATTCTATTTGAGAGTTTTATTATGCTATAATTTGGTGTTTTAATTTGGTGTTCTTTTACTTAATTTTTCAACAGCTTTGTAGGTTTATTATGACGTAGGACTTCGCTACCAGTTTGCAGGTAGCAAAAACAATATTTCTGCGTTGATTTGATGGCAATTTGCTACAAATGTAAGTTACATGTTCTCTCATTGTGGTCTGTGTTGAGTGGCAGGAGATGGCATCATGACGCATGTTACTGAATGCTTGCAGCTTTAACGTGGGCTGGTAGCTCCGGCCAAGAAGACACTCATGCTTGTGCAATACTGATGCCTGTATTATTCTGTACGATCTGCCGGACTGGCAGGAGGAACGATTTATTTTGAGACAAGATGCAGAGAGCTCACCATCCTTATGGAGACATTTGGGCTCGAGCTTTACAGACGTGCAGTTTTGTTGGAAATTTTATTAAAAATCTATGAAAACTAGTAATAATCTTTTGATGATTTGGCTTTTAATTTTGCCCTCCTTAAAATAATATTAGTAATAAATAAATACAAAAGAAGTTTCGACAAAATTATTTGGGTAACTAAAAATTTGTAACTAAGAAAGGTAGTTTTTTAATTGGTCGAGCAAGAATAAATCATCATGGTGTCATTGATCATATTCAGGTTAGCAAAAGCACTCGCTCATTGCGCCTCCATTTTTTCCAAGCTCATGGAGTGGAGCACTTTAAGTTTGTAGGTGATCGAAGCATTACTTGCGCTTTATTAGCTTTATTATGATTGTTATTTACGGTTTTTTTTTAAATTATATGCATATTTAAAAGGAATTACGATAGACTATTATATGAGCTTTCAACCACTCTTAATGTGCCTAACAATTCGAGTACTACCTTCTTAAGGCTAACTGTGCTAGAGGGGATGCGCACCTTCGATTTAAGGGGTCTTATACCGTGAATGCCAACCAATTGGCTGGGGTACACGACACACACACAGAGAAAATGTAATTTTGCAGTTAGCAGATCGTTCAATAACACATCCTAAGGAAGTAATAGAAGATGTTTTAGTGAAAATAGATCGATTTATCTTTCTTGTTGATTTCATTGTGCTAGAAATGGAGAAAAACAATGATATATCTATTATTTTGAAGAAACTTTTCGTAGCTATAAGAAGAGCAATGATAGATGTGCAGAAAAGAGAATTAACTATGCACGACAATGATCAAACAATTATGTTTAATATTTCAAAATTAATCATGTAAAAGGTAAAGATGATGAATGTTACAAAATGGATGTAATAAGATATCTAAGTGAATGTCATTTCAAAACAACTTTTGAAGAGAAATTTGAAGTGAAAGAGTTGGAACACGTGCAAGAAGAGGAATTAAAACAATTTGAAGATTTTTATAAGGAAAATTTGAATTATGTTCGAGAAAGTTTTGAAGTTTTGGACACGATAGAAAAAATTATATCTTTTTGTCCATCGATTGGAAAATCTTTTGAACATGAGTTGAAGTTACTTCCTGAACATTTAAAATATGTCTTTTTTAGTTAATTCCTCAACATTACCAGTTATGATTTCCTCAAATGAGAGTTTAATAAAAACTTTGAAGAATTATAAGGAAGACTTTGGATGGACAATTACTGTATTAAATGAATCAGTCCTTCAATTTGTATGCATAGAATTAACATAGAAGAGAATTGCAAATCTAGGATTGATCCTTAAAGGAGATTGAATCTTGTTATGAAAGAAGTTGTTAAGAAAGAAATTTTAAAGTGGTTAGATGTTGAAATTATCTACCCTATTTCAGATAGTGCATGGTTTAGTCCAATTCACTGTGTTCTTAAGAAAGAAAGAGTGACTGTGACTATGAATGAACATAACAAGATAAGTCATAGGGTGACGAATATGCATTGATTATAAAAATTAAATCTCGCAACTAAGAAAGATCATTTTCTACTACCATTTCTAGATCAAATGTTGGATATAGTTGGGCATAAATATTTTTTTTGGATGAATATACTGGTTGACACCAAATACAAATGAGGATCAATAGAAAACAACTTTTACCTGTCCTTATGGTTCATTTACTTTTAGAAGAATGCCCTTTGGTTTATGTAACACCCCTGCTACATTTCAAAGATGTATGATGACTATTTTCTGTGATTTAATTGAAAAAGGAATTGAAGTTTTAATGGATGGTTTTTCAGTGTTTGGGATCTCATTTGAATCATGTTTAAAACATTTATTGAGAGTTATTAAGTGCCGTGAAGAAACAAATTTAGTCCTTAATTGGGAAAAAATGTTAATTTATGGTAGTAGGAGAAATTGTTTTAGGACATCATATATCAGAAAATGTTATAGAAGTAGATCCTGCAAAAATTCAAGTGATTGTTAATTTACCTCACCCAACAAATGTGAGGGAAATTATGAGTTTTTTAGGACATGCTGGATTCTACAGGCAATATATTAAAGATTTTCAAAAATTGCTAAGTCTCTATGTCATTTGTTTGAAAAAGATGTAATTTTTAATTTTGATAAAGAGTGCCTAAAAGCTTTTGAGCTATTAAAAGAAAAATAAAAGAAATTTTGAGCTATTAAAAGAAAAATTAGTCGCTGCACCAATTATTGTTTCACCAGATTGGAAAAAACCTTTTGAATTAATGTGTGATGCTAGTGATTGTGCTATTTGAGTTGTTTTAGGATAAAAACATGATAAGATTTTCAAAGTAATTTACTATGCTAGTAAAACTCTTAATGAAACTCAAATTAGTTATACCACAAGTGAGAGTTGTTAGCAATATTATATGCTTTTGATAAATTCAAATCATATTTTATTGGAACAAATTGTATTTTGCATACAAATCATTTTGCTATTAAATATTTAATGAAAAATGAAAAAGTATTTAATGAAAAAGAAGGATGCAAAATCAAGACTGATACGATGGATTCTTCTTATGCAAGAATTTGACTTTGAGATAACAGATCGGAAGTGAGTTGAGAATCAAAGTGCTGATCTTCTATCCAGGCTTGAATTACAGGCTTGAATTAGAAAAATTAGAAAAATCACTGTTTTGAAAAATAAATTAATGAACATTTTCCAGATGAAGAATTGTTCAATATTAATGAGTGGCGTGTTTCATGGTAAGCCGACATTTTGAACTTTATTATTAATGATATTATACCCTATGGACTAACATATCAACATAAGATGAAATTTTTATCTGAAGCTAAGACTTATTTTTGGGATGAACCATTTTTATATAAAAAAGGAAATGATCTAATTTTTCGAAAAAGTGTGCCTTTAGAAGAAACTTATGAAATTATTCAAAAATGTCATAATTCTGATTTTAGGGGATATTTTAGTGTTGATAAAATAAAATACAAAATTTTGTAATCTGGATTTTATTGACCTACAATCTTTAGAGATGTTAACCCTTATGTCAAAACTTGTGATCGATGTCAACGAGTTGATAATATTTCTAGGATAAATGAGATGTCCCTCAATTATGTGTTGGAAGTTGAGATATTTTTTGTTTGAGGATTAAATTTCATGGGATCATTTATACCATCTTTAAAAAATTTATATATATTGATAACAGTAAAATATATATCCAAATTGATCGAAGTTGTTGTTTTATTTCGATTTGATGCTCAAAGTGTTGCAAAGTTTTTAAGAACGATTATAATTTGTAGATTTGGGATGCCAAGAGAGATCATAATTGACAAGGGAAGTCATTTCAGAAATGCAATAATGGAGAAATTATTAAAGAATATCATATCAACCATTACAATTTCAGAAATGCTGGTGAGAAAAGACTATTACAATTGAATGAGTTTGAAGAGATCATGAATGAATCTTATGAGAGTGCTAAGATTTATATAAAAAAAAGATGAAGAAGTGGCATGATCAGAGGATTCTTACTAAAAATTTCGAGCCAGAACAACAAGTTCTTATTTACAACACAAGGTTAAGATTATTTTCAAGAAAATATAAATCCAAGCAAACTTAAGCCCAGGTGGATGGTTCCATTTGTTGTGATAAAAGTTTATCCCTATAGAGCTGTGTATATCAAAGATCCTAAAATTGAGAAAATATTCAAAGTGAATGGCACAGGCTGAACTCCTATTTTTTAGGGGAGCAACTTAAATTAAATGATCTTATGCTGTTGGGTCAACCAGAATAAACACTGGTTACGTCGGGCTGAAGACGGTAAACCAAGCATTTGGGAGGCAACTCATAGCTATCAGTGTGTTTCTGTTTTGAATTTTATGTTGTTATGTTTGATTAAGAAAAATTATGGTAGTATTTTGAAAATATAATGATTTAGTGATGATTCTAAGACCTTAATAGATGACTTAGACATGTTAGAATGAGTATTTGGACGTTGAGCTAACCTGTGCTAAATTAAGCACCGGCGCTTAAGCGCCAACATTCGATGCTTAAGCGTGACAATTAACTAAAAGTGCTAAATTATGTTTCTAGAAGATTCGAACATGGTTTAGTGCGTTTTAACATGGTTTAGTGGTTTGAGAACGTGTCTAGTAGTTTTAGACTTGGTCCAAAGCCTACAAATAGTAGGGAATGAATAGAATTCTCACCCCACTTGAATTTTCACCCTACAGTCTAAGTTAAGAGAGAGAGAGATCTTGGAAAAATGTCTTCTTGGGAGATTGATATGAAGAAAAAGGAGGAAGCCATGAAGAAGAAGTTCATTAGTCGAAGTGCGCAAAAGTTATGCAACAGTTTCCTAGCCGTTAGTATAGAAGGAATAACGCAAAAGATCACAAAGATTGAGGCTGACGTGGTTTCAATTGAAGCGAAGGTGAATGAGACTAACACACATTTGGAGCATATTGTATGGCAACTTAAGATGCAGTTTAGCCATACAAGTTTTATAGAAGAAGCGAACAAGACTATGTACTTGAAAAGCAAATGGATTGAAGAAGACTCAACTAGTGTTTTTCACCACCGTCCGTTCTATCATTTCTATATTCCAAATGCCCCAAGAGAGACAAATGAAAGGCCACAATTCGTTCCACTGGAGGGAGAATGGAATCAAGTTCTAAGTTTAGTGTTTGTTTGTGTTAGGTGTTGTGATGTTAGTATTAAGTTTATTGTTTATTTTAAGTGTTTTTAATGTTTAAGTGTTTTTAATGTTAAGTTTGCTTAGTATTTGAAGTTTGTGCTTAGGAATTATCTCATCTAAGACTATTTGGATTGAAAAATTATGTATCACAAGTATTTTTTTATGAATTAATATAAGTGTTTTTTTGTGTGTAAAATTTTGTGTTGAATCGAATTAGTGAAAATTGGTGAAATTTGAGAAAGAGGAGAGTTGAAGGGGAAGAAATTAGTTATTAAGATTTATAAGACCATTTAGGGGTGGTTGACTTAGGCTAGATGTGCATTTCACTTAAAATCGAAAATACCAAAATTCGTGAACTGGCGCCTAAGCTCCAAAACCCCTTGCTTAAGCGCTGGACTGCCCGCATGTTACCAATTAGGTAGGCGCCTAAG